GTACAAGTTTGACATAAATGCAGCAATTACCGACGCAGGAGACTCCGTTTGTATCAAGCAGGAATCCGGCTGACAGGAGCAGCGGAAACTGCCATACTCATTGATACATGCTTGTTCACATGGTCCTCTTCCTCCATTAGAGTCACATTCATTTATGTCTGGTTAAGGGAACAAAAACATTATCCTAACATCATTATTGTCGAGAATTTGCTACATACATAGTGCATCTCACCTTTATTTTATTCGGGAGATAGTCATGGAATCGATCCGATTTTTTGTGGGAAACTTTGGATTTAGCGGCATAACTCTTGAAGGCATGGTTCGATATTCATGATTTTTGACAGGCAGGTTACCATTGTGGAGACCAAGGTCATGTGCACATTTTGGCTACGTAGGGGGCCCCTACGTCAATATAGTGTTCCTTTTGTTCTTACAGTTTCTTAGCAGGATAACTTTAGTATAAGTGTTTATGGGTGCTTATTGGTGTTTATGATTTTTTGTAGGCAAGTTACCGTTGTAGACACCAAGGTTGAGTTCAAACATGAGAACCGTTGGGTTTCGTACGTCTCTGCAGTGGACCTTCTGTGTTTGTTCGTCCCTTGTCAGTAGTTTAAGTTTTGGATTGACAATTGCCTACCTTTTGGGATGGTGTATATGTTTTAAGATATAGATAAAGAGGTGTAAGTTTTGTCTCCCTAGTGGCTTGTGGGTAAGTACAATGGGCTTTTTTTGTAAAATTTGGAAGTGCAGTTGATGTCTTTATCCAGGTTAACGACCTTCTGGCCATTGACTATTGAAAAACTGATCAGACAGCTACCCACCTCAGGATGATGGTATCAAATAACCTTGCCATGGTAACCGAAATGGCAGGGCTGTCTTTTTTGGAAACATGGGATGCGGGAATTACTTCGATCATAATAAAGTACGCAGGATTTCCTGTAACAGTTTTTGTTTTCCAGTAACAGTACAAATTCAAATAACATATGAGGGCCTAACACGGGTGACGGTGAGTCTTTAAAATCTTTAAAAAGCAGTACAGAGATTATTTTGTACTCTAGACCAAATTGATTGTTAAAAAGGAGAGAATACCCATGTTCATTTCTCTAGAACAATGTCCCTTGAACGAAGGCTTGGGATCTCCGAACCTCTAGTTTGCACTATAAATATGTAAAAAAAACATTACGGATAAGAAAAGACTTCTCATCTTACACATTGCACTGTTTTCCAAAAGCTATTATACGGAAACCTTATTTATTTACTTTAGCGTTGTGCTGTTTGGCAAATCAATCTGGTCATATTAATGCGGTTACAGTGACCGACCTTCTTGACAGTTGTCGCCACTCCATCCATGTTGACAGTCACAGCGGTACGAGTTAAGGAGGTTTTGGCAGATTCCGCCGTTACGACAAGGTGAGCTGGAACACTCGTCTACATCTGACAGGCAGAAATTAAAAGAACATTTTATCACTTACAATTTAAGGTATATTTTACCTTAAGATGGATAAGAACATTGCCCTTTTATATTACACATTTTATTGTTCTTGTGCCAAAACGGTTAAATGTTTTAGACAATACCTTCGTGTAGTTTGACAGAACACGATTGTCTTATATTTCATTTTGTGGCCATTACTAGTTTTAAGGACTAACCTGTCTGACAGTTGACGCCGCTCCATCCAGGTTGACAGTCACAGTGGTAGGCGTTGATGAGGTTTCTGCAGGTTCCACCGTTATGACAAGGCGAGCTGGAACACTCGTTGATATCTGCAGAAATCAATAGAACATTTTATCACAAAAGTAGAAGTGTATATTGAATCAAGATGGATACAAACATTGTCTTCTTACATTACACCATTCGCGTGTCAAAACTGCTTAATGAGACAATGTCTCAGGACTATACCTTTGTTTGTATGATCCAAACATTACCAAACGTTCAAAGGATTGTACAAGTTTGCATAAATGCAGCAATTACCGACGCAGGAGACTCCGTTTGTATCAAGCAGGAATCCGGCCTGACAGGAGCAGCGGAAACTGCCATACTCATTGATACATGCTTGTTCACATGGTCCTCTTCCTCCATTAGAGTCACATTCATTTATGTCTGGTTAAGGGAACAAAAACATTATCCTAACATCATTATTGTCGAGAATTTGCTACATACATAGTGCATCTCACCTTTATTTTATTCGGGAGATAGTCATGGAATCGATCCGATTTTTTGTGGGAAACTTTGGATTTAGCGGCATAACTCTTGAAGGCATGGTTTGATATTCATGATTTTTGGCAGGCAGGTTACCATTGTGGAGACCAAGGCCATGTGCACATTTTGGCTTCGTAGGGGGCCCCTACGTCAATATAGTGTCCCTTTTGTTCTTGCAGTTTGTTAGCAGGATAACTTTAGTATAAGTGTTTATGGGTGTTTTATTGGTGTTTATGATTTTTTGTAGGCAAGTTACCGTTGTAGACACCAAGGTTGAGTTCAAACATGGGAACCGTTGGTTTTCGTACGTGTTTGCAGTGGACCTTTTGTGTTCGTTCGTCCCTTGTCAATAGTTTAAGTTTTGGATTGACAATTGCCTACCTTTCGGAATGGTGTATATGTTTTGAGATATAGATAAAGTGGTGTAAGTTTTGTCTCCCTAGTGGCTTGTGGGTAAGTACGATGGGCTTTTTTTGTAAAATTTGGAAGTGCAGTTGATGTCTTTATCCAGGTTAACGACCTTCTGGCCATTGACTATTGAAAAACTGATCAGACAGCTACCCACCTTAGGATGATGGTATCAGATAACCTTGCCATGGTAACCGAAATGGCAGGGTTGTCTTTTTTGGAAACATGGGATGCAGGAATTACTTCGATCATAAAAAGTACGTATGATTTCCTGTAACAGTTTTTGTTTTCCCGTAACAGTACAAAATCAAATAACATATGGGGGCCTAACACGGGTGACGGCGAGTCTTTAAAATCTTTAAAAAGCAGTACAGAGATTATTTTGTACTCTAGACCGAATTGATTGTTAAAAAGGAGAGAATACACATGTTCATTTCTCTAGAACAATATCCCTTTAACGAAGGCATGGGATCTCCGAATCTCTAGTTTGCACTATAAATATGTAAAAAAAAACATCACGGATAAGAAAAGTCTTCTCATCTTACACATTGCACTGTTCTCTAAAAGCTTTTATACGGGAACCTTATTATTTTTTTTTTTTACTTTTGCGTTGTGCTGTTTGGCAAATCAATCTGGTCATATTAATGCAGATACAGTGACCGACCTTCCTGACAGTTGACGCCGCTCCATCCATGTTGACAGTCACAGCGGTACGAGTTAAGGAGGTTATGGCAGGTTCCGCCGTTACGACAAGGTGAGCTGGAACACTCGTCTACATCTGACAGGCAGAAATTAATAGAACATTTCATCACGTACAAGCTTAGGGATATTTTGTATAAAGATCGATAGAACATTTCCCTCTTATATTACACATTTTATTGTTCTTGTGCCAAAACGGTTAAATGTTTTAGACAATACCTTCGTGTAGTTTGACAGAACACGATTGTCTTATATTTTTGACCATTACTAGTTTTAAGGACTAACCTGACTGACAGTTGATGCCGCTCCATCCAGGTTGACAGTCACAGTGGTAGGCGTTGATGAGGTTTCGGCAGGTTCCGCCGTTATGACAAGGCGAGCTGGAACACTCGTTGATATCTAAAACGCAGAAAAGAACATTTTAAATCAATCAAACATTAAATTATATGTAAGATTACAATTTTATTTTAATCACGTGAATTAGGTCGAGAATGTGAAGTAAAAGCTTATGGCCAAGCTTTGGTTTTATACGTTGCATTTAAGGTCACCTACCAACACATTGCTTTAATCCTGACAGCTGGTACCCCGCATGGCATGAGCAGTGATAGCCGCCTCCGGTATTCTGGCAGATGTGGTCACAGCCTCCGTTGTTGTTGGAGCACTCGTTATTGTCTAGAAATAATTTAGAAGAAAAATTAATCGGTGATTTAGTCTTATCTAACTATGATAGACAAAATATATTTTTAGTATAGATGGTGATAATTTTTCTGCATCTGATACTCAGCCGAAATTTCAAAAAGGGTTCACGAGAACCAGACAGCTGATTTTAAGAAGCCCCGAATATCAAAAGGAAGGTTTGGTTTGTAAATTTTCGGACATATTACAGTAAATTTAAACTTTCTGTATTAGGATTTTTTTTAACTAAAACTCGAATTACAGTAAAAAAATAGCTAAAACACAGTTTTGTTTTAACTTTAGATACCGATAATTCATTATTGCGGCCATATTTAAAAAAAAAGCTCTAAAACAGAAATATGCGAAAATCATTGGTCTTCCAAACAAGCCCTCGGTGAGGTATTTTAAACGACTTTTGGAAGTGGTTAAAATACCATATTTGCAGGCATGCTATGTTTCTTGGATATGGGGACCTGGATCTTATAACAGCTTAAAAATAATTCTGACCTTCAAGGTAACACGTGAGGACGACAGTAGCTTCCTTACATATTACATATACACAATAAAATCACGGCAAAGATGTAATGTTTTTAAAACAGTTCATATTCTTGGAAAGGTAGATTTTTCCTGTTTGGTGAATCCCAAGTAAAAAAGGGCTTGAAGTAGCGGTTGTAGCGGCTTTACTGTAAATGACCGCGGGTAACTCCGGATCAAACATCCATTTGGTTCGAATGACGTCATATCGAACAAGATTCAAGGGGTCGGGGAGAGTGGGCCTTTTGGGCACAAATTTGACTATAGTGTTAAAGATACAGTATCTAAGCAACACTTTATATACCTTGCTATCAAAGACCTTTGGGCCCGGGCCTATAGGAGTAAAATGTTGCGCAGGTAGGGATTTAATTTTTCTTTTTTTAACAATCTTGTGATCCAAAACAGTTACCAAAGCATTGTGACACTTATATTTCCGTTGTCAATGTTGGAAAACTGATTGTACAACGTATTATCACAGAGGTGTTAGATCATGGAGCTAAACAGGGATGATCAGCTCGGAAAATTATCTTCCTTGCAGAGGTTCACACACAAAAAAATAGGCTCTTCAGGTTTTTCTAGCTTTCGTCCGGAAACATTTTTTCCTAGGCATTGGGCTTTACCTACCAATGCAGCCTGTTAACCCAGATTGCTGATATCCATTACGGCAGGTACACCTGTAGCTCCCTTCAGTGTTCACACAGTTGTGGTCACAACCGCCGTTATTATTAGAGCATTCGTTGATGTCTAAATTGGGCAGAATCGAAACAATTTTTCCAAAGCTGCTACTTTAATATTTTTTATTACGACAAAACTATATAATACGACTAAAATCGCAACACGTTTTTTTAACTAACGCAGAGGACTTAATAACATATTAACTTAGCCATAAGCTTTTAAAATACAGGTCAGTCATATATGTATCAATTGTCTATACACTTTAACCTTTATCATGTTACAAGTGCATGTTCTGCTAAGAATATTGTTCTTCTGATACTCAATAATATGTTTGTAGATAAGATATAAAAGAATGACCATAATTGTAGGTGGAAAATAAACTTAAAGTTATTTACCTGTTTGGCAGATAAAGAAATGCAGATGGTGACACGGCTGATCGTCCCAATACGCAAAGGCAAAATAAGAATAAAGACATCCACAGTCCTGTTCCCCATTGACATTGTTTGGCTCTCCTGGTGCCCAGCTATTATAACTAAGACGTGTTCCATCGGTCCATCGCCAAGTGCCTTCCGACTTCAATATAAAAACAAGTTCTGAGATTAGTATCGAGCTTTACAAATTTTATTGAAATGACCGTAAAGTTCCAATAAATGCAATTAATTATGTACATCATGTCCACTGTAGCCCCAAATGACAAAATTAAATACATCCTTCATGTCTTAAGTTACCCCATGTAACACAAAAATGTCTGCTAAAAGATTAATCGCTTAAAGGAAAGTTATACTATTTTGTCGTTATGTCAAAATTTGCACAGTTTACAAATTTGTCAACTAAATATCTATGCAATTCATGGCATGCCCATCACCTTTGTGAAAGTTATGTGTAAGGTACACTATAAATAGAGTTGGCCATTTTAATGGCTTCACCACAGAAGTGGTGTGGGGAAGACATATTGTTTTAACTTTTGTTTCTTCCCCTTCTTTAAACTTCCACCGATTTTGAACAGATGGGTGATCAGATAAATACTATTTTTGTGTGACAATAGTCGTTTGAAAGTTTAAAGAGAGGGTGCTCTGGTTACGCTCTGTAGCGAGCAGCCGCGGTTTTACCTCTCTCCTACAGAGCGCCTCCCCCGGTGTCTTCAACCGGCTAATGTGTGACCTTTTTCGGGATTATGTGCAATATAAGTGTCTTGTAAACGTCTGTGAGTGTATATAATTGTCAGTCTAGTCCGAGACCTGAACTTTGTGTGCAGAATCTATCTCCGACTCGGAGTTTATCTCAGCTGGCGTCATGGCGTCCTCCGGTTTCCTCTACTCCGCCGGATTCCTACGCAGCCTGAGGCGATTGACACAGCCTGCTGAGCCCCTACTGAAGTCTCACCTAAGAAGCCTTGGCGTCCTGAAAATGCGGGGAAGATATAGAGGAACAAGGGCTGGTAGGAACTTACAGAGAGTTATACAAACTGTCGTTGGCAATAGACATATAGAACCGTCTTCTGACTTCATATGCAAAAACAGAGGGAACAGCACGACGCAATTCACAAGCAAATCAGGATGGGGCATTCAACATTCTGAAGACCGTGTCAGACAGCTGCGTCTATGCAAAATCGATCAACAAAACAACGTACCAGGTCAACGACGATACATGCCTCGCATACTTCTGTCAAACGCCAGATCTCTCGTGAACAAGATTGACGAACTTGATGCAGTGTTGACCACCACTTCCATCGATATTGCGGTAGTAACCGAGACTTGGTTTACCCCCAGCCTGCCGAACTCAGCTACTGACATACCGAATTTTATCACGTTCTCAAAATGTCGATCCGACAAACGCGGAGGTGGAGTAGCAGTGCACACCAAAGCAACTATATCGTCAAAGGCCCTGGACATACTTGTTCCACCGGACTTGGAATGTGTTTGGGTACACCTCCGCCCGCACTGGCTCCCACGGGACATCTCGTCTTTTGCGCTGTGTGGTGTGTACAATCCCCCAGCTTCACGAAACGAATCTGCATTGGTATCCCACCTGTCCGACTCGATTGATGCACTGAAGAACCCCTGTCCAGACATCGGCGTGATGGGAGATCTGAACCACCTTGACACTAGTACCCTCTGTCGTGACCATTCCTTACAACAAGTTGTGCAAGTTCCTACTCGAGGCAACGCGGTACTTTACCAGATCCTCACAAACGTCTGGAAATTTTATCAGTCTCCTACTTCAGCGCCCCCTGTCGGACGAAGTGACCACAATTGTGTCATACTGACTGGGGAACAAAGGTGCTCCATGATCCAACAACCGTAGCCGCACAAAAGTAGTCAGACCCATGCGAGACTCGGACATCAGGGAATTCGGGTCCTTGGTTACGAACCAGTCGTGGAATGCGAATGAAGTTCTACAAGCAACAAACGCAGAAGCTAAGTGTACTGCATTCTACACTACACTTAGTAATGCCATCGAAGAATTCTTCCCAACAAAAGCTGTACGTCTCCACGTAAAGGACAAACCTCACCTTAAATCCCTTATTTCCGATCGTCAGAAAGCCTTTGCCAAAGGCGACACAGACATCTGGAAACGACTAAGGAACAAGATCGCACGAGAGATTGCTATAGTCAAGGAGGGATTCTACAGGGACAGGATCCAGAATCTTAAGACAGCAGACCCCCAGGAAGTGGTACCAAAATATTAAAGAAATGGCTAACATCCGTAAAGAGTCACCGCCTATCGACGTACCAGGCGTGGACCCTGCTTCCCCCAGAGAGGTAGCAAACGAGATCAACAAACACTTGGCATCAGCCTCACAGCAGTCCCCTCCCTTAATGCTGGAAGATTTACCCGCATACTTACCAGCTTCAGGCCCTCCCCCGGAAGTGTCAGTCTGGCAAATGTACCACCGTTTGAGAACGGTTCAACTGAACAAGTCTGCCGGTGTTGATGGAATTTCTCCCCGTCTCATTCGCCTTTGAACTCAGTCAACCTCTAACCAACATAGTTAACGCCTCGCTAGTGGAAGGAACTGTACGTACCTGCTGGAAGAAATCCGATGTTGTGCCGATACCAAAGGAGAATCCGCCTCGCCCTCAGAAACTCAGACCGATCTCTCTTACCCCCATTTTTTTTCAAAAGTCTGTGAAGGATTCATAACCGACTGGTGCATGCAGGACATCTTACCCATGATTGACACCCGCCAATATGGATCCCTCATCATCATCATTATCTTCGCCGCTGTAGTCATCTATCGACGATGCGGGCCTCCACCGCTCTCCACTCTCTTCTGTCCTGTGCTGTCCTTCAAGGGAAAGTCAACAACCCTCAAGGGGAAATCAACAACCCATTACCTTACAAGCCTAGTCCACTTCCTCGCGAGATCAACGGACAAACCAGGGCACATCAGCACACTAGTGCTGACTGACTTTACCCGCGCGTTTGATGGCGTTCACCACCCTACCGCCATCAACAAACTACTCACACTTGGAGTACGTCGATCCATCATCCCCTGGATTTGTTCCTTCCTGTCCAACCGTCAATAGCGTGTGAAGTATCAAGGAACAACTTCTGAATGGCTAGCTCTTTCATGTGGAGTACCACAAGGAACGAAGTTAGGCCCCCTCGTATTCCTGGCACTTATAAACGACGCTGTTCCGGACGAAGAAGGCTCGGCGACTGGCTGGAAATACGTGGATGACATGTCGTTGGCCGAGTCCCGACGCAGTACTACCCCTTCCACCATGCAAAGGGACATTGACAGTCTGGTGTGCTGGACCAAATGTAACTACATTGAACTCAATCCAGTGAAATGTAAAGCTATGGTTATATCTTTCATGAGAAACCCACCTCCTCCTCCACAATTGTCTGTAGGACCATCATATTTAGAAGTGGTTCAGTTTGCTAAAGTACTTGGTGTCATACTGCAAGCCGATCTTAAGTGGTCCGCTCATGTTAATACCATTATCAGTAAAGCCAACCGTAAGCTCTACCTAGTGCGTGTCCTGAAGAAACACGGACTTAACGATAACGACCTAGTGCTAGTTTTCTGTGGTTTTGTTCGGCCGTTGTTAGAGTATGCCCGTCCGGTGTGGCATCCTGGCCTCACTAGTCTCCAGCCGAAGCAAATTGAAGCCGTACAGAAGAGGGCTTGTAGAGTTATTCTAGGCAGAACATATGTTAGGTATGTCAGCGCACTAAAACAGCTATCTCTCACTCCCCTGTCCTCGAGAAGACGCAATCTGTGTATGAAGTTTGCTGTTTCTATTTCTAAATCCCCTGTCTTCTCATGCTGGCTGCCTTCGAAACGGGGAAACGTACACGGCAGAGAACTGAGAACGAAGGATAACTTCACCCAGTTCAACTGTAGAACTTCCAGATTTACGAATACTACCTTACCTTTTACTGTAAAATTATTGAATGGAATTTAATCATTAGTACCTCGCCTCTTAGCCTTGTATAGTAAAGTAAAATGGATTTTAATCAATACTTCTCTTTTACTGTAAAGCTATTTTATGAATGTTAACCAGTACGCACCTTGTCTTTTAGCCTATATTTGTACAATTGATTTTGATAAATTAGTAATAGTACCTTGTCTGTAAGGGTATAGACATGTGATGGATTTTAAGAATTACACAAGATTTGTATCATGCCCTAATTCAGCCAGATAAGGCTGCAACGGTATGTCTGGACACGTGTTGCAAATAAACCAGTCATCATTGCTGCACTGGCGTCTTGTGGTAGGGAGTTCCAGACAAGCCAACCAGAGTAGGCCAGGAGCCTCCTATGAACCTGTCTCAAGGGCTACTAGCTGATCAGAAGCATTTAGTCTAGTGTTCCTAGTAGCTCTTTCCCTGCAGAAGGTAAATATTCGGCGCTCGAATGGGGTAACAGGTTATTTAAGGCCTTGTGTACCAATGTGGCTCTGTGGTACTTGTGTATCTTACCATCCAGGACGTGAATGAACTTCCACCAGCATCTTATTCGATCTCCATGTAAGATTTCTTTCTTACCTGACATCAAAGTGGTCAGATTTAAGTTGTTATTTTTTTTCTTATAATTTACGTCAAATGTCAAAAAGTTTCTTCTTTATGTCACCTAGAAAGATTGAGAAAGGCCATTCTTGTTTTTCTTAGTAATGTTCAAGAAAATACAAGAATTTGGTTATTGTTTTTCTTGGCAAACACTGATTGGAAAAGCAAGAAATGTAAGATATCTAAATCAATGATTAGAATAAAGCTCTGCTTAGTATTTCTTTTTGAATGTTTCTTGTTTTCCTTGACCATAATTTTATTAAAAAAGCTTTAAAAAGACGTTCTTGTTTTTTCTTGGCAACAGTTAAGAAAATACAAGAATCTAGATCTTATCTTTCTTGACAAACCCTGATAAGAAAAGAAACAAGAAAGATATAACATCTTTGATTAGAAGTAGGAGATGGCTAGTATCATATTCTTAAACATTATTAATTTTCTTCCCTAGAAAGTTTAAGAAAGGCTATTATCGTTTTTCTTAGAAAGTACATTTACAAAATACAAGAAAGTTTAAGAAAAATGATTCTTATTTTGCCTGGTAATGTTCAAGATGATGTAACTTTTTTCCTTAACTTACTAGTTTTTTTTTTTTTCTTAACGTCTTATATGTCCTTTCCTGAACCCCTGCATGGTTGCTTCAAATCCGAGAACGCAGTTGAGGGGGTTTGAACATAAGTCAGATGTGGAAGCCGCGCTGGTTACTTATTTTTGTCAGTTATTGACTTAAGTCAGATATAAAGTAAAAATTAAGTTAAAGAGGACATTGTATACATGTGAAGAAAAATTGATCGTAGTCAGCTTGCAGAAGAAATCAACTTTGGAACAGAAAAAAGGATGAAACCAAACAGATAGAAGGTAAGTGCGCCCCCTTTCCACCTAAAAGAAAAATCTGTTGACATTTTTTTTAGACTTCATAGCCAAAATATTGTTACAAGGCCATTGGGGCTGATTTCAAAGTCAATTCATATCTCTGATGTTTTGTGTAGTAAAGTGTTTTACTGCTTTATAATATAAATTTCAATTGTTTACTTCAAGTAATAAATCATAGTATTGTAGCATAATGCCATCCTGTTTTGACTTTGTCGCCTCCAGTGCATGCATGAAGAAATGGACAAGATTTTTTTCTTGGGTAAAGAGTTATTTTGTCAGTGAAAGAATATTATTCTTCGCTGAAGAAAACAAGGTTGGCATTTTTGGTAGTGTACCATATGCATCAGTGAATTATAAGTTGTAGGATCTAGATGCATGTACTTGGTCTTAAATATATGTTTGACATTAATTTTCTACTTTTAATTTTGTGCAAATTCTATTATATTTTCCAGCAAAGCAATTTAAAAGCAATATATA